AAGCAGAAAGAAGTCTAAGAGGGAGTCAAACATTGATCTCCAGCACTCCGAGGGAAGAGTGCTTGGCATGGCAGTCCCGCCTACAGGTGTACTTAACTTCAGAACTTCAGATTGTAGTTGCCCACTGCTTCTGTATGTATCTGGTCCCTAGTTCCAATTACATCTTGAATAAATATGTTATTGCTAATTAAATCTTAGGATGAGATATAAAACGAAGCACTAATTTCTGATAAATATTTGACATCTAACAAAATGTTGTTCAGAATATCTAATGAATATGCTTGCCATATCTGATAATTATGTTCTACTTTTTTGCGTTTCTTATTCAGGGGTTTTGAAAGAATCCTGCTTCTCAACCATCGATAGGGTGTAGATTAGGATATTCTTACATAATTCATTGTGGACTGTCTGGTTTAACTTAGCGGGTGGGTATTAAATACATCGTTTTGCGGAATTTATGAAATATAAGGCTCAGGTGTGGAGTGACTTATTCAAATCAGATAGCTAGCAAATGTCTTGAAATCTGACTCATGTCTTCAATTTGAATCCCACCAGCCTGGGCCAATTGTCTTTTTAAAAAATATTATATTATCAACAACTGTATTAAAAAAAAAAACCCTGCTGTTTGTGCTAGAATTCTGCATGAACTTGGTTTCTTTTGATCATTTATTCTTTTTTCTGTTTGCTTTCTCATGAAATAGATAATGGATCATTGAGAGCTGAGAAGCAAAAGATGAAATGTAAGTGGGGCAATAGGAGACATGGACAATTGTTTGAAGTCACAATGAGCTGGCTTCCTTCTTTGCATGCAGTAATGACTCTTCTGTTTCTCTTCCTAGAATTTTACCTATTGAATACATGAAATCTATTCTCTATATTAACATAATTCTAAACAATTATTGGATATTTGTGAAGAGGAGAAAAACATGACATACAGTTAAAACTGCTTCATTGATTTACAGAAAATGCAGAGGGGAAAAATTCTATGTGGAAGCATACCTTCCATACAATTAATAATTTAAGCGCTGCTAATTGGTCATGAATACTTACCTCTGTCCTAACCAAATATGCCTTTGGGTTACATCTCTGAGTCCCAAGAACAACGGTATTTTTCTCCTAAAATTAAGTATTCTTTTACTCATTTATTGTAAATTCTGTTTTCATCACCCATAGTTCAATCGCCTTTCCCTAAGCATATACTTTCTGTATACTTCAATTTTCCCATGTGCTAAAAATAATCTTACGGTGTTTCTATAAGCTTAAGGTCTTCCATAAATTGCCATCTCAAACTTCTATTTAATTGCCTGTTATTGTTAACATAGGAATTAGCATTGTCATGACAGGGCATGTGTAAAAGAGTTAAAAATAATTGATAAAAACTGGTTCCTGTATATAGCAATGTTGGCAGTGTAAGGGATTTTTCAGCTGATGTCTAATTTTTTAAAAGACGTTCCTGGCTTCCAGCTTCAGATTGTCTCAGCTCTGGCAATTGTAACCATTTGAGGGTAAAACAGCAGATGGAAGACCTTCTCTATATCTCCTTCTCTGTACTGATCCAAACTGAGCTGATCCAAAGCCAGGAACCAGGATCCATAAGCAATGAGTTGGATAAGAAGTAGAACACCCGGGACACAAATTGGCACCAGATGGGATCCTGGCACTTGTGAGGTGAGGATTTAACCATTGAACCATCACACTAGTCCCATAGAAGCCTAATTTTTAAGATTCAGGATTGTGAATTTTCACCAATGCTGGGTTTGTGTGGTGTTTTCTCATCTTCTCCTGGATAAATTTGGGTCTGGGGTGATAGGTATAAAATGATGTATCCAACAATGAGTTTTGGTTCACTATCAGATGGTGGTGTTCCTTACATGCTGTGAAAATACTATAGTCTTTGGAATTAAGGAGCCAGTGATAAAAGTGGTGCCTATGGAGGGATAGAAGGAATGCTAGCTGGAGGTTGTGTAAATACTTTACATGAAATTTTAGCATCTTCTCCTTCACTGAAAAAATCTGCTATGATAAACAATTTGTGGCCATGCTCTGAGCAGAGACAGCAAGTATGCTATCAAAGACTTAGAACACCTGTTTATTCTCTCAACTTACTTGTTTGGTGCTAATGTAAGAATTGGACTATTGGGGACTGGCACTAAGAATCAACAGGCTAATGCTCCACTCTATGAAGACAGCATCCAATATGATGCTAGTTTGTGTCCTTGCTGCTCTGCTTTGTTATCCAGTTCTCTGTTTATGAGCTGGAAAGGCAGAAGAGGATGACTCAAAGCCTTGGGAACCTGGATGCACATGGAAGATCTGAAAGAAGCTCCTGGCTCCCAGCTTCAGATTATCTCAGCTCTGGCCATTGCAGCAATTTGAGGGTAAAACAGCAGATGGAAGACCTTCTCTATATCTCCTACTCTGTATAAATGTTCTTTTCAAATAAAAAAAAAAACGGTATCACATAATACAATGTTAATAACAATTTTAAAAAGTAATAATAAAAAATAATAATAAATATTTTTTTAAAGAAAAACTTGAAGTGTAGGGGGGCCTCTAGTACTTGGCAACTAGTACCACTAACTGGGGCTAGGTTGGCTAACTGACCTACCTATAAAAGCTATATAAAATGTCTAAACAGTTGACAAAAACAGCAAGGGTTATTTATTTATTTATTTATTTATTTATTTATTTATTGGAAAGGTGGACATACAGAGAGGAGGAGAGACAGAGCGAAAGATCTTACATCCGATGGTTTACCTCCCAAGCGGCCTCAATGGCTGGAACTGAGCCAATCCGAAGCCAGGAGCCAGGAGCCTCTTCCAGGTCTCCTACACAGGTGCAGGTCCCCAAGGCTCTGGGCTGTCCTTGACTGCTTTTCCAGGCCACAAGCAGGGAGCTGGATGGAAGCGAGGCCACTGGGATCAGAACTGGCAACCATATGGGATCCCAGCGAGTTAAAGGAGAGGACCCCCACCGCTACGCTATCCTGCCGGACCTGACAGCAAGGTTTTGATTAAAATAGCATGATCCAGATTATCATTCCACATGGATGGATGTGTTAGAAGAGCAGGTCAAGTAAAACAAATAGGAGGGTATTTGGGTTGGTACCTGGTCTGAGGATTTGATCACAGCTTGATGGCTCTTCTGAGTTTTTTGCATTGTGACAAGCCAACTGCACTGAAAGTGAAAATCCCATGTTATGTAATATATTCTGTTAGAACAAAACCTCCCAAAGGGGGCAGTGTTCAGCTGTGATTTGGTATGATAGTTTTCCTCAGATAGTTTTTGAAAACAAGTTTTGAGGAGAGGTTAGATAAGACAAATGGTGCTTCCAGGGCTTTACCCAAACTTCACGGAGGACCAACAATGTAGGAAAGAATGTGAACAGGCAGGCATGGGCAGCAAAGAGGACAAATATATACTGCACAATTTTTCTCAGATGAAGTTTTTCTACTTAAAATGAGGCTGGAGACCTTACCTGGAGTAGTCACGGAAAGATTTCTCTCCACATTCTGTTTCATCCGTTGTCAGATTTGAAAATTTCCCTAATTGGGATAATGAAACAAAACCCATATATGTCATAGATTATTTTAAATATTGAAAGTAGGTTAAAGATTAGATAATCCAAATAGTTTCCATTAATGACAGAGAAATGTTAAAAGAGTTTTGTTACTCCTACAAATAACTCAGCTGCTTATTTTTCAACTAATATTTCAGAGTATCTCCTACATGTGAACAGTGAATAAGAAACTTCCTGCATAAAATAGTGAATTGTATGTATATTATTATATGTAAACATGTGCCACATTTCTCCATCATCTAAACACACACATAGTAACCTCCTCTAAATTCAAATGTTTAAGTGCATGGCAAACTTTTAGAAACCATTAATGGCTTATGTGCTATATTTTAACTTCCATTATAGTTAAAACAAATCTTAAGATTACACTGAGGACATACACACTTGGTGGATATTTAAGATGTCATAAATAACTGACCAAGTACAAGATGCTGTTAGCATTATTAACTTGGGCTTTTGATCTGCACCAAGAAAATACAAAAGCAGTTGCCAAAACTGAAACACTGTTTCAAAGGCAGCACCTGAGAAAGAAGCCATAGTCTTGAAGGAAAAAAAAAAAAAACAAAAAACTTTAGTTATGTATTTAAGCAAACGATACCCCTCTAAGCAAATCTAAGACAAGATTTCAGCCTGATATATGGAAATCATCCACATCCTTGAATTCTAGAAACAGAGGAAGCAATGAAAGTGAACGCCCCTCCTCACTGGTTTATCAGATCTCACTGTATACATTTATCCAGGATTTTTGCTGACTTGAGAGCTGAGACATATAAGCGACACAGCGTAGTCTTCAATTTTAAGGATATGCAGATATATGTGAGAACCAGGAAATCTTCGTTCGTTTGGTGCAGCGCCATTGCTATTTCATTCTCTGTAAAGCTTCTCTAAGAGTGCTGCTCTAATTACCCTGCGACCTGCAGGAGACGAAGGAGGCAGTGGGGTTATGACCCCATCCTTTTCAAATGGTTACCCATTGACTCCATGTGATGGAGGGGAGCTGTAATGTGAAAACCCTTATATATTAACATTCCTTGAGATTTAAAATCATTCTTTATTTAAGAGGATAGATTTTTGACTTCATTATTTAAAAAATAAAAAGCATTTCCTGTGCTGTAATAAAAATCCAAAATGACACGGAGGCAATGCCATAATACAGCTGGGAGCATGGATTTGAATAGCAGACACATTTAAGGTTCCTCTTCCCAATGCACCCATTTAATGACATAAAAGTATTTGTAAGAGTGGTTACTCTCTAAAACTCCAGTTTCTTCCTGTCTGAAGTGATCATCAAAATGATCATGCTATTGCTTTGTAAGCACAGGAAACCTCTGAAATAGAACAGCATTACACTCTAAGACAACCCTTCCTTCAGATATCATCCAAGAATCTCAAATCTACCAAGTGGTATTATACTGCTACCATGGTTAAATATGAACTCATCAACAAGATTGACAAGGTACTTCATTGTTCCCATATTGTGATAGGGTTTAAATACTTGGATTCTTTTCTGCTATTTCCCCCATGTGCCTTAGCAGGCAACTGGATCAGAATTGGAGCTATCAAGACTCCAAAGCCAGCCCCCATTCTTCTGCTTTTATCAGATTTTTCCCTTAAAATCTTTGACTGGTTTGAGTGGGTTAAATTCTTCTCCCAAACATCTTCATATCGCCCGATATTGACTAAGCTGGTCACTACTGCTTATTTCCTCCTATATCTTCTCTTAATTAGTAGCATTTATGAATTTATGAATTTCATAAATTCACACATAGAAATGACCAGTATTATATGTCACATATTCCGTTGTCCTTCCAAATGTGCTGGGCAACTGAATGTTATTCTAACATGAAAACTAAGCAGATATAATATTATCATTCAAGATAGAAGGTACAGTATCCGAGGCTGTTCCCAATTCTCTTGGTCCAGATTGTGATCATGGCAGTGTAACTGTTCTGGATCCTTCATCTGTTTAGACCTCTGAGTGACACTGAGAATATCTTTATCAGAAACAAATTGTGTGTGCATGTTGGACTATAAAGAGTCAGGGTTGTGTAATGTAATATATCTTGGTTGCGAGAATAGACCCTAAAACAGTTCCATTGTTGGTGGTGTGTTTTTGTTTTGTTTTTGCCTTTGCCATCACATTTCCCAGTCCTAATAACCTATCCAAAATTGCAGCTGGTGCTTAAGAAATAACTGCTGAGTAGATGGGAATCATCCAACACACAGTAGTTGCTAATTTATGTCTTTCCCTCTTTTCTACTTCCTTCTTTGAAATTATTTCTGCTCTAAACAATCTTTCAAATTTAGTGAATTTCTCCAATCAAATTATTCAAGTATATTTTTGGTAGTGTCAAGTAGTTCACTCAATGTCCCAGAAAAGCATACTTCTTATTTCTAGCTCTGTCTTTCCTCAAATTGCAGACTAATAGAACAAAATTTAGGGCAATGAAGGAAAGTTATAGGGAAATATGAAACACTTTTCTAAAATGACAGGTATAAGCCATATTCAATGAAGTTGAAGCTTCAGAATGAAGTGAGTTTCTTACTATTGAAAAAGTACTCGCAGAAGCTCAGTGGCTGTCTGCACGGTCATCATGGGAGGCCTGTGTTGGACGGAATGTGAACTATGACCAAGGACACATATGCCAACTGTGCAACTCTGCATCTATTTTTTCTCCTTATCTTCTAAATTTTTTTGTCATTATTATATTAAACCTTAAAGACTCAAGCTGATTTCGAACTTTTCCATGGTGTCCTCAACAATAAGAATTGCTCCAATCCCCCATTGAATCTCTGTCTTAAATCATAGGTCTACGTATATGCATGTGTGTGTATAAACATATAACATGAAAGGCAGAGAGAGAGATCCTTCATTTACTACTTCACTCAATACATTTCTACAATAACCAGCGATAGAATGAAATCCAAACCAGGAACTTTATGTGTATCTCCTAGTGACTACCAGATTCCATAGGTGCATGAACAATTATCTGTTGCCTTATTCTGGTGTATATTTGCAGGAAGCAGAAATCAGAAACAGAGCCAGACTTGATCTCAGGAATGCCCATTTGGAACATTGGCATTCAAACCAGCATCTTAACCATTGCATGCAATGCCTATGCTTAAACTTCTGTCTTACATTTCTGCAATCCCAAAAACACTCATTTAATATTTAATCTGTTCCCATTTCACACATTTTTGGCAGTTTAACACATAGTCCTCTGCCCTTAAGCAGACTCTAAGTTTATTACAAGTGTGATGCTGCATGATTTCAAAGTATCTTCTGGTTAACACAAGTCTTCAGCCTTCTCCTGATCAGCTTAGAAAACTGATTAACTGGTAAGCACTACATCTTTGGAAGTTTTCTGTAGGGAAAAAAATGATGGCAACAACAATCTGGGAGACACTACATGGAAAAAGATGGCTACTCTTGAAGACTAGCAAATTTTGAGGCCACACCAAATCTGCTGAATCAAAGCAGAATGTTAGGTACGGAGTCTATAAAATTCAAGTTGTTAATAAGATATTGCCCAATGTGTGTGTGCACTAAGTTTTTGGCAATGAGTTAGACAGGAATTATTCAATTGAATATCTAATAATTAATTCAAGCAAAAATCAGATGTATGTTTCCAAAATGCATTTTAATCTCTGGCTCAGCCACTGGTTAAAGAAAAATGTGAAATAATTTGTCAATTTTGTAAGAGTATTTTAAACAAATATGTAGTATTCTCCTGGTGGAAGAAAAGTTTCCTCCAGCCACCGTTACTGTATGCCCTGTAAGCGTGCAGTACAAGTGTTACACTGTAACTTTTGCAGATATTTTCTAACAGATAAGTATTTAAGGACACTTTCCGCCTTCTTATTCATATGAGGAATGATAACTCTAAAGCCACATGCACTTGTCCTGTGCACACACAACCCCTTGAACTGCAGGAGCAAGGCTTTGGCTCTGTGGGGTTGTTCCAAGGGAGAGGTCAGTTCTTGGTATTACAAATGAGGACTTCTCGATGAGAACCTCTGTTATATACATTAAGTAACTTTCCTTCCCATGGCTGTTTTCCCATTGTTACATAAGGTCATTTTCTTAGGGGGATATATTTTGCAATGAATTTTAATAGAGTGTAATAATAGGATAATTTATATTTCTTTCATATAAAGCCTATGTAAAGAATAGCTCATTAGATGACCTGTCTATGGGAAGATTTTGTATTTTAAAAAAGGAAACAAAACAACAATAATGGAGAGAAACCTACTGCTCATGAAGACTGTTTTGCACAATGGAAATGAGGAGGCAAAATATAAACTTCTCCTACTTTCTAGAAAAATGCTTTCAAAGACAATGCCAATTTTGCAGCAAGTCCAACTTAATTACTGGAATTGCATTCCAGAGTACATTTATTATGATACATTTGAATACCACGTGCAGTAAAATTTCAAACAGACCATTTAATTCTGCACAGCATTTCAGAGAGGGTGTGTCAGAGTTAAATAAGAAGTCACAAGTGGAATTGTATTTTTAAAAATAATGAATGCAGTATTAATTAATGCTGGGGTTTATTCATATCTTCTTGCAAGTATTAGAAACAATGCTAGTAATCAAACAAAACACCTCTGGAGACTGCCCACTGTGTGCTGCTCACTACACAACACCAAACATAGTGGATGAATAAAACACTCTTGTGCCCTCAAGAAGTTCAGGCTGGTAGAGGAAACAGCCAGCAAGCAATCAAGACATGATGTGGGAAGAATAGAAATGCATTGAGAACTGACGGGAGCCAACAGCAGGAGAGATGAACTCTAGAGTTTTATAAGACCATTGTTAGTCTTCTTAGGTAAGAAAGAGAATCTCTATATTTGGTATTTTCCCCCTAACAATTCTGTGCAATACTTAGTTGTTTTAAAAGCCCATTTGTAACCCTAGGTCAGAAAAAAAACCTTTTGCCCTGGATAGAGAGCTTTTATCGGGGCTGTGCAGCCTTGAGCACAAGATATTTGAGTAATGCAGAAGAAGCTTCCAGGGAATATTTATTTGAAATATAGTTCTTTACTATTTTGAAAACCAGAGGTGCTTATAAAAGCAATCTCACCATAGCTGGAAAAGTGAGTCCCCATAAATATCTCAGAGGGCAATAACCTTTCTTTGTGGTTCTAAGGTTTACGAATCTCTGCAGCAGCTAATAGAAAGTTTGCTTGTAAGTTCTGTTGCACCCAAGGAACAGCCCACAGCCTAAATCGTTGCAGTTTGAACAATTGCAATTTAAGAGACCAAGAGTGCCACAAAGAAGTAAATCAGATTGTATATTTAAACTCATTCACCCAAGTGGACATATGGAGAAAAGAAGAAATTAATTCAAAAGTGAAGAAAAGGCAGTCTAGATTGAGACTTGAGTAACCTTGACTTCACAATTGCTGTGTAGACTTTAAAGCAAGAGGGTATTGGCAAAACTGTACCACTCTAGAAAAATCCTTGATAGAATACAAATGATTTCCACAAAGGACAAACTCTTTTTATCAAGAATCCTTATATATTGAAACATAAACTTCACAGATGAGGCCAAAACATCTGTAGGTTTCAAAACCTGGATAAATAATTATGCCATGGTTCTAGTTGTATGCCACTAGGTGTTCTTGCACATTGATGACTAGAAAGACTGTTGAGGGTAGTTCCTGAAGTGTAGGTGGCTAGTTGTTTTATTGCTTTCCACAGACAACCAGATGAAGAAATCCATGAGATACTGTAAGGATAAAGTAAGTGAGACCAGGTGGAATGAGGATACCCTTGGGATAGAACCCTTGTTCAGTGTAAGATCAAAGATAGCCCAGTCCCACAAATCTGTGAAATGTTAACACAGGAACTACAATTCCCATTTCACAAATTAAGAAATGAAACTTTGAGAAGTTAAATCACTACTCCAATATTTGAAGTCTAAATCTTACTTCTGTTACAAGCAAGAGGAAATAATTTGGAGAAGTTGTGTGGTCTCCCTAAACTCAAGCTCATCAACAAGGGAGGCAGAGTCCTAACGCTGTTTTTCCTACATTCAAAGAGTGATGATGTTGGTTAGCATTTCTTAGTTAACTTGCTAAATTCTTTAGTTGCTTTTGCCAAATTTTAGTCAAACATTTCAGAGACTTGATTTCAACGTGTCAGCGATACACACTAGTACTTCTGTACTCTGGTAAGGTCTGATTTATCCAATTTCTAACTCTATGGATATTCAAAATTACACTGTGAAGAGTTATTAATCTATGGGGGATAAGATTATGAGAAGGAACTGCTGACATACACCTGCAGGAAATCTTTGAGCAGAGTAAGTCAGATTACCCACAAATAGGCCATAGATGTCAGTTGGCTGCATTTCACAAAGACATAAAGCCAGCGAGAGGATGCTTTGCCACTTTCTTAATTTACTTTTTACAAAGTAGTATGTAATATTAATCTTTTAGCATTAGAAA